ACAATATTTTCTTCCGTTCTCAACCATTGGCAGACTATTTGTATCCCTTTGTCCTGAGGTAAAATGTTTCTAATCATGACATCCTTACAATTGAACCAATCATGGGTAGGCTTAAAGGTAACACTTGCTTTGTGCCAAACAATGCATACAATATATGATTATACTTCACATCTTTGTTGTTATTGTTGTTGTTAAATAGTAACTATGGGGGATTGTGATCAAAGCAGGAAGGAAAAGGATTTCCTTTCTCCCTATGACATTGTTCTGACAAAGACAACTGTTCTTCCCCATAGCTGGTATTTACTAACAGCTATTTATTATTTAGTACTTAAAGCTGCTATTAGTAGCAAATGAAGCAGAATCTCCTTGAACCTCTTTCTGTGGACTCTCCCACCAGGGGCAAATTTGAGCCACTCCCTATGTCCATTCTCTCTTTTTCCAGGTGTGATTTAAGGATGTAAGTTATTTCCTGTAAAGCCCTAAATGAGCTGGGACCTGAAGAAACAAGGGTGAAGCAAGCAAGCAAGAATGTGATTATCAGCACTGGGGTGAGCCAAACTCACACAAACATTAGCAGCCCCACTCTTTCAGAGGTGCCCTGAGAGCTTACATCCCCTCAACTGCTTAGAAAGTAGGTTTTTATATGTCATCTGAAAACATTTCCAGCAGCTCTGCATCCAATCAGATAACAATAGGTCAGAATTCCATAAAGAGCTATTATTCTCACACCAAACAAGGAGCTTTATTAAAACAAGACCTTTACATGATTTCTGGAGCTCTTTTTCCCCAGATGTCCACATCTTCCCCTCAGTTCATTGATACATCTGGTTTTTGTGCAGCTTCAGAAAAATCACAGCCTTATCACCAGAAATGCCAATTTGTTTAGCCAAAAATAGGGGGGGTGAGTACCTCTTCTTTGGAGTTCACATCCTAATTTCCCAAACTGATTTCAGCAGATTGTTTAACTACCGGCAACACCTTAGGTCTAGGAGATATTGAAAATTAAAAAAGTTGTCTATCAGAAAGAGACTGGCATGTTTGTAATTGTCTTTGTCCCAATGAAAGTTCCTAATACTTCTCTTTAACTGCTCAGGAGACATTAATCATTATTTATTGTACATTTCAGCAAACAATACAATCCGATGTTGCATTATGGATTCTGGAGTTGCTCTTACTATTATAGTCAATGTTGTTCTATGAACTGTCTATAAAATCAGTAGAGATATATGAAATGTATACATTTATTGATGTAAACATTTGTACAGCTGACTCTAAAGGGTTTACACAAAGCAAATAAACTTTCTTTTTACAACCCTATAAAAATCCCTTAATTTGGGGTAGAGTTGGACCGATGGGATGGAGTTGAGAGTTTACTGGGCGGATGCCCTTCCAAATGCCACATGGACTTAGCAGCAGATTTTTTTTTTTCTTTGTGTCCTAGGACAGAAACATTTGCCGCTACCTAGGATTGAACTTTCAACCGTCACCAGTAGGCTACCACAATGCTCATTTTACACACAAAGCAAATACAAAATAAAAAATATATATGGGCTATAATTTAACATATAAAAATAAACTATACTTAGTGACCACATATTATAATCCTACATTAATTAATCCTGCATTCATTATAACAAACCATGGTATCTTACCCTGATGTCCCATCTCCAACAGCCTTCTGGAAAAAATTAGCCTTAATAATAGTTTGCAAAGCCATACAAGAAGGCGCAACTTTTGCATCCAGAGGCAAGCTATTCCATCATGCAGAATGCCTATTTCTGCCAATCATTCCAGTAGGTGGGTACTTTAAACAGGCACCCTATGTGTACCCACTGGGCAGCCAATTCAGCTCAGAGAGAACGATAATTCAGGGTGGAGATTGTTAATATCTGTGACCTGCTATAATCATGGTACTTTCTGACTCCCCACTTTTTGGGGAAGGAACAAGTATTTGTTTCATCTGTTGTCGTGTGAAGGTTAAAGTCCATTGATACAATTTTTTTTCCAAAATTACTGGCAAATATATTTTACATTCGGACCTTTAGCTGAATTGTTAAAATGAATGAATTCAAACCAAGTGGGTGATAGAATTGAGTTGGCATGTCAGGCCTCAAGGGCTCAGAGGAAAAGCGGATGAGTAGACCCTTTCAATTTGGCCTCAGGCCTCCTAGCTTTGGAAGACTCTCTTAACTGATCTGCATCATCATTAGACATCAGAAAGGTCTAAGTCAGAGGAAGGACATCCTTGTTAGCTCAGCCGGATCTCCCAGCAGGATTCAGGATTACTGATCCTGTTGGTCCCTTTGCAAGGAACGGGGTTTGTTTTTTTGTTATTAATTAGGTAAAAAAAAAAGAGCAAGAAGAAAAGAAATACATATGCCTATACGTACAAAATTATATTCTACATTAAAGCAGAAGTTGAAGAATGTGGTGATTATATATATAAAAAATAGGTCTAAATAGAGAGAAAAGGGACAAGAACATTATAGTGGCCCTTCTTCCCTTTTACCCAACCCTGCTTAAATATTTTTACACTATGCTTTGGACATCTGCAATTATATCTCATTTCTATTTGGAACATTGTATAATTATTTTTAAGTTTCTCTTTTAGTCTTCAAAAATCATATTCTAAATATCTTAGCTTGTCTTACTGTATTATAATATGTTGTGAACATGGGAACAGTTCGGTTAGGCTTTTGCTGTGAATATATCAGTCATTTTTTTCCATTGCTTCTTATCCTCCAGTTTTAGTCTCCCAACCTTGGTTTATCAGCAAGATTTCCCTTTTCCGGTATTGTGCCAAATTGATTCAGGAATGAATATGTAAGATGAATTCAGTCGTTCCTTGGAGATCAATGTCAAAAAGTGACGATGGGGAACTTTCATTCAGCCTTTTGGATACTGACTAAATGGTGTTGCTTAGAATTATATCCTGTCTCCTACATGTATGAAACATTGTTCTTTCCAAGAAGAGCAGAAGATTAACAGGAAGCTTCCAGCACTTACAGCATTGTGATGAATCCCAAGTAAAAGAACAGAAAAGTATTCATTATCTCATCTAGGAACAGCTGAGCTAGCCTCTATCTGATCCACCACTAGAATTCCTCTGAATCCACAAAAGCGAAGATATAGTGAGTTGACAGTCAGAAGTAAAATCTTTAATACAACTTAGATAAATTAGGAGGACAAATTGAACTTTCTGAAATTATTTCAATTAGAACAAACTACCCTAGAAGAGGAGCAGGAAAAATATATGTTATATAAATACTTCTCACACATACACCAGCAGTGCTGGAATTCAACAATAGTAAATTCTTGTTCTTAATACTTGAATAGACTACATTTTGCCTATGCTACATACCAGTCCTGATTTCTGTCTTGTGAGCTGTTTTTTCTTTGATCCTGGTCTAAGATTTCTAACCAGCTGCTGACCACTGCATATTCCTTCTACTCACAGATCTCCATGATTTATCATGTCTTTTATGTACACTGAGAGCTTATGCATTGAAGACAAATTCCTTGTGTGTCCAATCATACTTGACCAATAAAGAATTCTATTCTATTCCAATACAGGTAATTAACTTTGAGTAAAACAGTAGTTTCATTTTCATCTACTTCCTGGGAAGTTGATGAAGTTCTGAACACCTAACAAGACTTCCAACAAGTGTGCTAATCTAGGCAAGATGAACAACACTACTGGTTAGGAAAAAGTCTCCAGATCAGGAATTCAGTTTATTCAAATAGGACAATACTCTTGAAAAATCAGTTTTATTATCTGGGGTGTTTTTTGATACTAGCTACAATTTTATTTCAGTGCTATTCTTTGGTGATTAGAAACCTTTGGATGGATGCCCTGATGTCATATCTGAAATCATTTTCCAATGTGTATTGTTTATGTTCGTGAAAGTACTTGTCTGAAAGCTCAATGCATCTCACTTCCCCTTTGCTTTAGAAATTGGTAGAAAACTGTACTGTGGGATTTTGACTCTTTTCTGGGGAATTTCAGAAGAATTCCTCATCTACTGCTTCTTCTTTGTGATTTCAGCTTCCACGAAGGTTCTTTTTAAAGAATTTATACTACAGTTTTCATGTGATTGCTATCCTACAATGGCAGGAAATCAAGCAGCCCAAAATGATCAGAGGGATCTTTGGGGTAACATGTTACTTCGGATCTACAGGTCACCCACACGTAATCTAAAGGAACTTTGGCTGAAATGAGGCCTGAAACTCTGAATGCCTGATGAATGGACAGTCGAGAATGACAGCAGAGATGGCTGGAATTAAGCAACTCCTTCAAGCAGCTGATTTTGGCAATCTGGGAGGAATCCACAATACAGGGGTGGGATTCTACCGGTTTGTCCGGTTCTATAGAACCAGATGTTAGTGCTCCTGGTAGTTCGGAGAACTGGTAAAAATGGCCCCTTGGCTGGACCTGCCCCTTTCCACCCACTTCTCCACTCCCTGACCAGTCAGTCCCTAGTGCACATGCGCAACATCGTGTGCATGCGCAACATGCCTGAAGTCTGCTTTTGCCCACCAGGCCAGCCATTGCTGCCTGCCTTTTGCTCCTGGGCAGCAGAAAAGCAGCCCGGTTGAATCCCGTTTCTCTCTGATGCCCAGGAGTCGTTTCCCGAATAGAGGAGCCTTGTAAGCTTTTCACTCTGCTGGGAGAGGCTCTCCCAGCAAGAGCAAGTGAAAGAAGCAGCCTGGAGCCGATCGGCCTGCTCACAGGTAAGCCTGCCCTTCCCCCACTGTCTCCGGGGCTCCACGGGCCTCACTACCTACCCACAATACCTACCTAGCTGCCCTCCCCAACATCCCCAGGCTCAGCTGGCCGGCTAAGCTGCCACACAATGCTCTCCCAGCTCTCCTTACCTCATGGCAGGCGGCGGCCCTGGCTGCCACCCATAAGCAGCGTTGTCAAATGGGAAGCAGCCAGGTCTGCCACCTCTGCCACCAGCAGAGGTGCTTAAGGAGGGCTGGGGCAGGGTGTATGTGTGTGTGTGTGATCCCCTGCTTTAAGCATGCGGAGGCTGCCCCAGCCATCGCTGGAGGTGCTTTGGGAGGGCTAGGACAGGGTGTGGGTATGTGGGTGGGTGGGTATGTGGGTGGATGTGCTTTTATACATGGAATTCTTAGCCTTTACCTTGGTCTTCCCCAGAGACCCACTCGGAGCGATGGTTTTTGCTGATGCTAGCGATGATCAAGAAAACGACCTGACCATTGCTCTGAGTGGGTCGCCAGGGAAGACCAAGGTAAAGGCTAAGAATTCCATGTAGGTGGAGCGTCGCATCTCAGAAGCGCCAACAGCAGGGAAATGAGAACGTGTGCGGTTGGAGCCGGCTTGCAGGAGAAGAGTTTGTTTTGGTGGGATGCTGGTGCTCGAAGCGGCCCACTGACCCCTCTCCTCCACCATAGTCTGGCGTTCCGTGCAGGCATAGAAAGCTGTCCTTGCCCTCCCTCTTCCCAGGCTCCCTTCACCTGCCCTCGCATTTCTTTCTTCCCCCCACCCCCCGGTGATGGCTTCTTCAGCGCCTCCGGGTTCCAATTGGGGCCTGATCATGAACATTGTGAACAGCATCATTGGGGTTAGCATGCTGACGATGCCCTTCTGTTTCTGACAGGCATTAATGGTTATTATATAAAATATATAGGTTGAATATTCACCTTAGGAGCAGTAGCATGGCTTACCTGTTATATTGCTCAAGGTTTATGTTTCATTTTTTAATTCTTATTTCATATTCTTTTTAAATTGAGTTATATTGTCTGTTCTTACAACATCTATCCTGCATTATTGATATAAAAGAGGATAGCATATGTAAGAGTTCTCTTGATACATGAATTCCAAGGTTCATTTTTTTTAATGCTTTCTCTCTCTTATATTGTCTGGTCATGTTTGTTATAACCTGGTGCTTAGACACCTGTTCATCTGTGTGACTTGTCTGACAGGCACAAAAATATAGAATTTGGGGTTAAACTTTGTTTTATAAATTGAGAAATTACAAACTATTTCTGTTCATCATTAAAGTAATCTTATATCTATATGAGAGTCATATAAATCTTGTTTCTTTTTTTCTATTTTTCCTTTCCCCCTCACCATTGCCATGGATGTTGAGAGGCTTTCAGATTGTGGAATCCAATGTAAAGTAGATTTTAGAAACATATGCCCCAGGTTGTTTCATATTAAGAAATTATCTGTGTGTTTAATCACCAGATGCATTCCTTAGGAGCCATTTTGGTGTAGTGGTTAAGGCATCAGGCTTGAAACAAGGAGGCTGAACTGTAGTCCCACCTTACTCTGGTGCCTAGTCCCACCTTAAGCCCAAAGCCAGCTGGGTGACCTTGGGCCACTCACTGTTTCACTAGCCCTAGGAAGAAGGCAGTGGCAAATCCTTTCTGAAATCTTGCCAAGAAAACTGCAGGGATGTTTCCAGGAAGATGTCAGGATTGACTTGAAGGCACACACAAAAGATAAAGTTTGCATTACATGGCTTTATAGAATAAAGAGCCGTGGAATATGTTTTTTGCAGTAATTAAGAAAAAAGTGAAGTGAAATTGCCTGTCCAGTGAATAAGTGGCATACATATTATAATAAATGAATATGCAGCTTCCTGAAATTCTCAGCCATTGCAACCATTGTTTAAAAGTTGCTCTTTTTTAATAAAAAAATCAGTATTTACATAAATATTTATAATATTTACATACAAGCCACGCCCAGCCAGTCACGTGACCACAAAGCCACACCCAGTCAGCAAGCCATGACCAACCAGTCACATGACCACCAAGCCACACCCACAAATTAGGCCACACTCATAGAACCGTTTGTTAAGAAATTTGAATCCCACCCCTGCCACAATACTATTTCTTGCTGACTTCATTTTTTTTCAACTTCTGGGGAAAGAGAGGAGTTTGTATGAAGTCCAGCATCCGGTGCTCAGATTCTTTGATTAGCCTTGAGTGCTATGTATCTTGGTGATTATCCCTTATCATATGTATTCATACATGTGCTTGATCCTTATGCATGCCTTAGTTGTTAGTCGGAGGTGGTAAGAGAACACCTAGCATGCAGTGGTGGGATTCAATTTTTTTTTACTACTGGTTATGTGGGCGTGGTTTGATGGGCATGGCGTGGCTTGGTGGGCATGGCAAGGGGAAGGATACTGCAAAATCCCATTCCCTCCACACCCCACTAACCTGCTTTCCAGCTCCGGTCTCATAGGCAGGGCAACAAAAGAAGACGCAGCCAATCAGCTGGGACTCGGGAGGCAGAGAACAGATGGTGGGGGGGCAGTCAGAGGAGGTATTTGCAGGTTCTCCGAACTACTCAAAATTTTCACTACTGGTTCTCCAGAACTGGCCAGAACCTGCTGAATACCACCTCTGCTAGCATGGGATAAATAAGGAAATACTATTATGGGTTTCTGCACACCATGATCAAAAAGCAGTGTTTCCATGAAACATCCCACAGCTACTTTTGGATACAAACGGTAGCCCTAGACTGTATTTTTCTTTCTTTAGCCATTACAGAAGGAGTGGCCTCAGTTCAGGTCATGGTGGTTTCCTTTTGAAAAAAAATGGTCAAAAGGCTATTCCGTGCAAATAAACACTGCTGATTAGCAAATATGTTCCTTGACAACATGCTGTGGTTACAGTCAAGGCCAGAAAACAAGAGATCAAAACAGCGAGACGAAATGGAAAGCCTTCAGATGCCTCCAAAGCTCCAACTTTCAGGGAAAGTGCTTCATGTCCGATGATCTCTCCCATCTGATGTTTCTGTTAATTCTGTGTCTGGCTTCATCAGCAAGATGTAAATGAATTGGCACACGCGCACACACACCCTGCATATTTGGGGTGTTCTTCCAATGTTTCATACTGCAACACGTTTGCTTCAAGCATGAGGGGCGCTATCAATCTTGCTATCTTTTGCTAAAGTACTTGCTTTGACAGGGGTGCATCCAGAGGTTTCTGCAAAAAGCCTTGGGCACTGGGTTAGTCTCACTGAAAAAAGAACCGCGAACTCAGTCACCTTGTAATTATTGTCACAGATTAGCATCTTTCATTATCTTTCTCTCTCCCTCTCTCTCTCTCTTTCTCTTTTTCCCAGGACAAAAGAAACCAGCTGAGAATGAAACAAAAGAGAATAAAGGGAAAAGAGCTGAATGTCAAGCAAGAATAGTTTTGATAGGGCCAAAAGTGGAAAAGGAAGTCTAATTTTGTCCTACTCCGGGGGAAAGAAAAGGTTTTGAGCAATGTAAACAAATCAGGAAATCCTGGCACTTACTCCAGTTCCGATTTGGCGAAACACTCCAGCTCTTTCCCTGTGTGTGAGCTGCTGTTTATGAATGAAATCCAGATTAAGCTATTCATTGAGTCTTGCCAGTCCCACCATTTCCAGGTTTCCTTTTGCCGATGGCATAGCTTAAATCTTAAAATAATAATAAAAAAACATATGCATGTTATTAACTCTCCATATTCAAATGGAAATACAATGCTATCATAAATCTCTTTCTTTCTCTCCTTCTTTTTCCTGTAACATAAATTCCTTTCTCCAGCATGAAGTTGCAGGAAAGCCATTGTATCTGAGCCATCTAAACTTGAAAGGGATTTTTTTTTTTTTTTGTTAAACTAGTTATGATAGAGGAAAGCATGTTTTTCACTGAGTCCAAAGATTAAAGTTGGTCGTAAAAGGAGGTGGAGGGGATGGAGGAAGATTATTGGTTGCTCAACTAATGATTAGATACAGAACTTCATGGACAAATTAAGGAGCATAAAAACAAGAGAAAGATCTCTCCAGATAAGTGAAACCATTCAAATAATATCAAATAAAATATGCATTGTTTATCATTCATTTTAATCTTCTCCAGCCCCACTCTATCCCAATTAGCTTAATTAGACAATGAGGGTTTTAAACCCCCATCAAGGCAACAGATCAACAGTAAACAGACTTGAATGTTTAAGTCTCAGCCTCAGCCCAGCTTCCTTTCTGCTCTCACTAGTAGGGTTGCCATATCCTTTACTCAGCCCCTCCACACGTTATCTGAAAGTCTGGAATGCATGAATTAAGTTTAATAGAGTAGCGAAATAATGTGAAACGTCTGCTCAGTATGTCAGATCTCTGGCGGTATTCATTCTTACGTGCTATTCATCATTAGTGACCAATGAGTATATTCAGTGATATCCAGTGGTATAAACATACACATGTGAGCTTACTCTATAGTAATATGCTGATGTTAGACCTGTGATCAAATTCCTTTAGCAATACCAACATTTATTTATCCATTCACCCCTCCAATTTCTGTGTCGGTCTGCCTGTCCAATAAACTGGGTGGCAACAAAATAAAAACAAATCATTTCATTAAACCAAGAAAAACCAAATAAAATCACATCAAGGATCAGGAGAGACATGAAAACACTAATTACATATATCCATACCAGAATCCTTGTAACCAATATCCCATCTCAATGACTAGCTTATCTCTTTCCAGTCACGATTAAGCCTTGCTAGTGGGGAAAGAAGGTTAAATGAAAGAAATGAGAAAGAAGGTATGTGTCTTTCTTGGAGTCTGACAGAATTAAAAGGCTAGCTGTATTCATGGGGCAAATTAATATATGTGGTATGCTTTAAGATTTTCTTTTGGAAGTAGGAGCGAACATTGCAAAAGTTATCACTATTATATATTCAGTTCAAGTCATAGTTCCTGAGCCTACTGTCCTATACTGAACTATTAGACTCCAGGGAGGTGGGATCTAACCCTAGGGTAACATCATAGCACATTAATCAATATTGGTCCTGAAGAATAATAAATCATTTACATGTATCGCTTCCTTTTATATACTGAAAAAAGCATAGGTAGTTTGCTTAAGAAATCACTTGTCTCAGATGGCATAGGTAAATTATATTCAAATGTTTTGAAATGTAGGGATCTGTGCATCTAATTA